GGTTGTGCCAGACAAATCATATCGGTTTTATCCATATCCATATCCATATCCACACACACATTCTCCAAGGTGTTGGGCAGCAGTCTTTTCCAGCCTACCTATCAAGAATACTTGCTCTGAAATTTCATATGGGACCACGTGACTGCAAAACGTTTCTCCCCACAATCTTGCCCACTGTCTTATTCATGTGGATCTCTTTGCTTTCATAATAATCATTGCTTCCTCTAATTATGAACATTGGTCGTCAAGGGCCAATCAGTTTGAAGAAGAAAGCCAGCCAAATTATACTGATTGATACATAATGGGGAATCTTGCTCGGTATGCAGGAATATCTCTATGCTTGTCATAGAAAGGCTGGCTCTGCCAAGCTCCTTCCTCACCCGACACTTAACAGAAGCTCTTCTGCAATGGAGTGAGATGGGAAACTGAGCTGAAGACCAGTTTCACCAAATTTTAGAACTCTTTTCTTTTCCATTGGCTCTTCCTATGGCACCAATCCTTTCTTTTTAACAAAAAAACCCACAAAATGTTGTGAAATAGTACATGTGTGCATATGTATGTTTGCAAACACGCATGCATGCACACACACAGACACACACACACACAGTATTGCACCCAAAGCTAAATGTTTCAATAATTGGAACCTTGAAGAAGTTCACCAATAATGGCTGTATTTGTTTTTCTCTTTGTACATTACATAATGTGTTCTCTCAGGACAATGCACTTACATCAATTAAAGGGGATTGTGACGGATATGATAATTTTGTTAGTCTTTAAGGTGCGATAGACTCCTCATGCAAAAAAACTAATGTGGTTACTCTTTTGGAATTTGTTCCAGGGGATATCCTATCTAATCAGCGTTGCTGTAGCATTCCCATATATGTGACATTAGCAAAATTAAAGATATACAGTATGGGTGTATCTACGTTGTATTTTTGGTTCTAATCAGTTGGGCATAGTCTTTTAGAGTTGAAGACTTGGGAGGAAGAGTGAGAAATATGGATTTTCTAACTCTTCATAGAACTTTATGAATTATCCAGATAGTGGAAATTCAAGAAAGAAGGAAATCCACTAGGTGGCACACGTGGACTGCCATACAATTCACAGATCTGAAGACAAATCTTGTGGAAAATAACATGGTATAGTATGTCTCTGCTTTCTGAAGGTAAATCTGTTCTAATTCTTTTACATATTAAAATGCTCAGCTGGGCATCAGTTCTATAATAACATCTGTTCACTATTCTTGCAGGAGTGGTTGAGTTCAGAGTTCATTATCTTCTGCCATGATCTGAACTGATGAATGAATGGCAGAATGGTTAAATTAGTAGCTGATGAGATTTTATCATTCTGAATAGTTCTCCAGGTGGATTGTGAACTGCTCCAAAAGGATCATTTCCAACATGCATGAGTGGCCATGAAAATGACAAATGAAACAGCATAAAGGAAAGTGATGCACATTGATTTGACAACTCTATGCACACATATGCACACCCCCACATAAAAGATTAAAAATGTGCTGCAGCTATGAAATAGCAAATGGAGCACATTAGGAAATGCAGTTAAAATAAACTTAATATTGTAATGCTCTTCTGTAAAACGAAAGAACACACATAGTTCAGTCATGGAGCTAAAAATGTATTGAAAATGGACCCCCAAAAGATTTGAGAGCTCTTACTCTCAATACCTCCAATAAAAGGGATTTAAAAATGGGGATGGATAGATGTGATAGAGATTTATACAACCATGTATGGCTAAAAGAAATAGGTACTTTATGGTTGCAAAGTGGCATTTCTCCATTACTCTATTGCCCCCCTAGCCATTCAACTTTCCTGATTTAACAACCCGCATTATATCATGATGTCTTGCCCTGAAAAATGTGTGAAACCTAATCAAAGCCTCCTTCTTCATTTGTTGCTCCAGATCTACATACACATACGCTCATGTGTGCATGTGCGTGCACACACACACACACAAAGGAGGAGGAGGAAGATGATTGGATTCAATGACCAATAAGCCTGTTAATGAGCAATAGGCCTCTTACAAAGTATCTCTTTCAATCAGATCATCTTTGGTCATCTCCATCAGCTGCTGACCAGCATTATGGGCTGGTGGTGAGATCCTGGGATCAGGGTCTCTTGGGCACTATGGGCCTGGCCAGAGATTGAGGAAGAGCTGGGTAGGAGCAGGGCAATTTTCAGCCAAATTATGAGCACACTGGATTATTGGGAGCTTGAGAATATTGCAGAAGTAATCTAAGCAGAGGTCCACAAATGAAAGGTAGATATGCATACCTGTGAAAGCTGAGTCATATTAAGAAAGGGGTTACTATGGGTAGAAATAAGCTCTCCACCCCAAAGAAAATGTGGTTGAAGTTTGATTTCTCCTAAGATTAGTGGGTTAATTGGATGAATGTTTCCCCTGAATGTCTGCTTTGTTTTAGGTACAACTCCATCTGATGCAGTAGGGTACTCCATGTATGATAACCATTTGGGGCACAAGTTCTCCACCCTTGTAGGAATAACTGGAGAAGGATTGCTTCTACATTTCAATGCTCTCACGGTTGGAGTGGTGATGGTATTATGAATTCAGATCCTGATGATGCAGTGTTTATTTTTAGCATTATTTTCACAGCCAGGGACAGGCAAAAATGTATAAAAGCTAGCTTTTGAGGGGTGTACACTCTGAAACACACAAAGATATAATTGATAAAGAGAAAGAAAAATGAATGTGAGAGAATACAACTGTGTCTATTAAAGGCCAGTGCAAAATGAGTACAGTACATGTTGAATAGCTTATACCATTAGTTTAAATGGAACTGATTTTAGTGGGACAAAGAGCCCCATGTTTAAAATAGCTGAACATTAGGGATGTGCAAAGCTTCAAAGGGACGTTTTGACAAAGGGGCAAATGAAGATCCTGTTGAAGCTGCTTCATGAAACAATGTGGTCCTTCACTTCTAAGAGGAAAACAGATCATTTACTTTGTCTTGTTCTGCCTCAGAGACCCTCTCAACCTTTTTCTGCAGACCTCTTGCATAGGAAAGAGCCTTCTCTGGTGAGTACTGAGGGAGAAAACTGAGAAGTTTGGCATGCAGTGAAGGTCTATCAGGGTAGGGTGGCTTTGGTGCAGGTTGTGGCTAATCCCAAAGATGCTTGAATTGGAAGCACTTTGGCCAGCAAACCATGTTCCCTCTGTGGTCCTAATCATTTCATCAAAGCATATGTATGTTACTTTGCATACCTAGTGAATATGCACATGTGATACTATAGTAGAACATTCCTGCACAGGCCAGGTGGTTGGACAAGATTGTCTCTTCCATCTTCTATGTTCTATGATTTTACACTTCTGATCAAAAGCTCAACAGAAGGTTCTTGAAAATTTCATATTCTATATGGAGATTCATATGCAAATATTTCATTGCATTATACCTGTACATCATATTTGTTGGAAAATTACTATGGGTAATATCTTGTTTAATTTGCAACCAGCTCATTCCCAGCATAACAGTAGCAGGAAAGCAGGATGCCAGGTGATTCTTCCTCTGTTCTGGAATTGGTGGACAGGGATAAAAAAGATAAAACTTAGCAGAGAGTTCCACTTATGCTTCTGTCTCAGTTGCCATCTTGCCCTGCTGGTGAATGAGGATGATGTATCCAACAGCACTAAACCACCATGGTTAGCTTGACTGTGGTTTAGCATGTCTTATGGACTAAGCCAGTGTTGTCCAAACTTGGCCACTTTAAGATGAGTGGACTTCAACTCCCAGAATTCCCCAGCCAGCCATGGGG